GGTAAGGGGGGGGGGGGACGAAGAGAAGACGAAGAAACTGGGAAACGAGAAATGAGAAACGTTCGAGAAAAGTGGTTCCTCGCGGCTCGTCGACATCAAAGACGTCCCGACGCAGCACGGCGCTCCGTTGGGTTTATATAATTCCTTCTCGCTTCGGCAGATTTCAATGCTATCGGAAATCTAGCCTTCGTCTCCTCTGGTGCGTCAGCATAGTTCACCCCCTTAGCCCTCCCACTACCGACCCCCGTCACAACAAAAGGCAGAAACTTAGTTTCCTATGAAATCTCGTTCGACTCTCTTTTGATCGGTTGGCTTTTCGATACGTCACGGAAATTATTGGCGTACGATGTTAAAATTAGGGGTTGATGGGAAGGGGGGTGGTGGTGGAGTTGAGAAAAGATTTCCTGTTAAGAAATGACACCTGGGTCCAGATTTCATGAGATTTGCACTTTTGATTTTTGTGAATAATAAAAAAAAATCAACCCTTTGGTTGAGGGTTGGTATTATAGTAAGCAAATATTTATATAGTATATATATATGTATTACTGTAGTAAAAACCTGTGACAGAATAATACTGTCTTACAAATCTATTTTACACCCCTTTATAAAGCGAGGTAAAAAAGGTCACCGGGGTCCGATGAAATCTTTGAGACTTGATAATAATATATAAGCCCTTTGGAAGCAAGTACCTAACGTAAGGAACGATGGCCCGCATGCTGACGCAATAACCTAATATTTATACAATTAGGCCCAGTGGCCGACAGCCAGAGTAAGCTAGCCAGCCAGCCAGCCATCCATCCAGCCAACCAGGGAACCAACCAGAGTGGGGTCCTGAGAAACTTTGTTATACCAAGCGAAGCGTGAAACCGGCGTTCCAACCCTCCTCGGGCTAGTACCAAAATGGCTGCGCCCTCGCGAAAATGGCGACTTCTCTTTGAAGGTTATCAATATTACACGCATATAACCATAATCCCATTTACAAGACAGAAAAGAGACGCGGAGTCAGGGCATGTAAAATATATAAGCAGATCATCCATACAGCAACCGCCAACCAGTCAGCCAACTGGCCAGCAGTCGCTGTGGTCCCGGGCATATATTAACGTGGAAACAACGGGTGAATATAATTCGCCCACGAGATTTCACGAGATGACGCCAGGTGGCTACTATATCCGTGACCGACGATATTTCAACGTGGGGGTCGACGCTGACTAATCTTCCGTTGAGGTGACTGCCTCTGGGTGGCTGGCTGACGGTCACCGTTCAAGTTGCTACCACACTGTGCTGTACAGTATCGTCCTAGTCCAAGAGTAGCTTCCTTGCTGGGAGAGTCTGTCACAAAATTATACGAAGGGGGTGGGTGGGGGAGGAAGCGAGAGACATAGAAATATGAAAGCCACCGGTGGCTGTCGTATCTGGTAAAAGGTCAACAGACACACTGTTACGTAAGTACGCGTGTATATATATATATTTCTACAGAATGACGCTGCAGTCTTACGAAAGTTTAACAGCCCCCGCTGCCATTTCTGGTACCTCCTTGCAGCTTCCGTGACGTGTGCGCTGGTTTTAGATTAGTTTTATAATCGGACTTTTACCAGAGCGGCTGCTGCCACTCGCTATGCTATTTTACGTTTACTTTTTTTTCTTTTTCACT